AAACCCCTAAACCCTAAGCCCTACATGACACCCCAAGCATCCCCAAGCCCTAGACTTCTGGGGTGGGGATCCCTTACAGATCCTGGTTGCCCTTGCAGTGACCCACGTCGTGGTTTAGGGTTTAGGGTTTAGGGTTTAGGGTTTAGGGTTTAGGGTACTACTTTGGGGGCTCCGTGTTATAGTTACAGCTGCGACACCTAAAGAATGTCGCACACCGCTTGAGCGGACACGTGCGTGCTTGCCGCATCACTGGGAACGTCGTCCGCTGCACGTATGCGGGGTACGACTGCGACTTCAGCTGCGTTGGTTCCGACATGGTGTTCTCCTGGGACAAGTACGCCGTCGACGCCCGCCCGCAGCGTCAGCGAGGACGATAGGGCCTGGTTGGCGGGCTACTGTGAGGTCAACTGTGGGCCCGACGTCTGCAGAAAGCACTACTTGCTCGTGCTTCTGCGTCACTGGGTCGCCACGCGCGGCTGCGACAGCGGCTTGGCCGGTCGGGAGTGCTTCCTAGCCTTCATCTCAGATGTCAAAGGCTGGAGCGGCGTATACGGGCTCCAGGTCGACGGGTAATGGGCCCCAAAACCCTATTCTGATTTTTAAGGCCTTCAATATGGAACACGATATATCCTTTAGTGGCTCAAAACACCCCTAGCCTATACTTATACGGCCCAGGATCCCGTTTCTTGAACACACTGTGCTGAAGCAGGTGTGCCGATGGCGGCACTGCCGGTGACGGCCGCTTTGATGCCGTCGAGTGGGAGGGCATGGTTGAGGTTGAGCTTAGGTTTTTGGCGATGGTCCCAAAACAACTCTAGATCCTTTGCCCGGTTTCCGTAGCAGGGCACCGTCTTTGAGGCTTCGTGCTTAGGCCCCAAAGTTTTGCGACTCTACACCCTAGGCGTTTGAACATAACGACCTTACTAACGAGGCCTCACCGGAGGACGTCTGTGCTCGCGCGATCGCGCTGCATTCTGCGCCCTGGATGCAAGCCCAGGGGCCTGTAGTTGACCCTGTAGAGAAAGGTTCTGTGAGGTTTGGGATTCAGGGTTCAGGGTTGTGAGTTTTGGGGTTACGGTTTCATGAGCTCTTTTCAGGATTTTGGGGAAATCAAGGGGGTCAGCCTACACGGTAGGGCTTAAGGTCTCGAATGTAAACCTCACCTTGTAAAGCGCTTTACCAGCGAGACGGGAGCGAGTCGTCGGTGTGTGTCGGACATTGAGGCCAGGGACTCCCCAAACCCAGCCAGCGAACGTTGTGTTCAATGTAGGGGTCCGAACAATCCATCAGTAAGCTTGCGAACATGTACATATATATATATATATATATACATATACATATACATATGTACATATGTACACATATATGCATACATATATGCATACATAAATACATACGTACATAAATACCCACATATTGTACTATGAACATATGTAGAAACAAATGAATTTTGGTATGGAGTCTACGTCACCAGTCGAGGGTTGAAATTTAGGGTTGAAGGTTCGAGGGCTCAGGGTTTAATGTAGGGGCCTAAATAATTACCAGTGCTATGTTTTGGGGGGAGGGGGTCCTTATAAAAATTATAGTATAATGGGCCTCAAAACCCTATTCTGATTATTAAGGCCCCTACATTAGATAACCGCTTGTGCGTTGATTTGCGCAAGAGTCTTACCAAAGGATTTCAGGTTGTGAACTGCCCGAACGCAAAGGCACCTAAGTGTTCACAACCTCTAGGGTTTAGGGGTTTTGAGGTTTTGGGGCTTGTGGGATGTAGGGTTTAGGGTTTCGTGAGCACCCTGAACCCTGACAACACAGCCACTAGCCGACTTCAGCCACACCAGCCGCAGCCGAAAACCGGACATGCAGTGGCAGAAACAACAAGACAACAGCAATAGTAAGATACGTAATGGTGATGGCAACGATGATGATCATGAAACCGAAGATTGGATGCGGTGTGCGGTGATGCTACGGACAGCAAGACTCTGCATTATATGTAAACTTCGAGTTGCGTAAGGTGGACATCTGGTCACATGGGAGGGCTGACACGTGACAACTGAGAGTTTTCGGAAATTAGGGGTACCTTATTTTGGGGTCCTTATAACAAGGATCCTACTATTCAGCGTACTATATTATATTGGAGTCCACTATTTTTGGAAACCCCCAATAGAGCATCTTGCAGGCGCCAAATGTAAATCTCTTACCCCACCCCGACCCTGATTGTTAGATTGACACGGTCTAGGAGTTAGGGTTTAAAGTGTAGGGTTTTAGGGTTTAGGGTTTAGGGTTCAGAATTTAACGGTTGTTTATGCTGTGCTCTTGTGGGTTTAGGGAGTTGATGTGCGAGGTTCAGCGGTTCTTACAAGCCAAACGCCCCAACAGTCTAGGACATTTTCAGGTGGGTAGTTACCGTTATAGGAGCCTTGTAGAAGGTCTATGTACCTTATGGGAGCTTTATAGAAGCCCTAAAGAACCCTAAGCTCCCCACCTGTAGTTTCCGTTTAAAACAGCCTACACTCAATGTCTCTAAGCCCAAACCTAGGCCTTGACTCTAAGCCCAAACCTAGGCCTTGACGTACATATATAGGAACCTCTTTCAAGGCCTAAGTAATTGAGGTTAGCTTTTTTTAACCCCGACACCCTAAATCCTAAGCCCTGAACCAGAAAGTCTATATACCTTATAGAGGCCTTATAGCTTCCTTTAACTTAAAACCCTAAACCCTAAACCCCTACCCCCTAAACCCCAAACCCTCAACCCTGAACCAGAAAGTCTATATACCTTATAGAGGCCTATTAGCTTCCTTTAACTTAAAACCAACCTAAACCCTAGACCCCTAAACCCTAAATCCCAAACCCTAAACCCTAAACCCTAAACCCCAAACCCTAAACCCTAAACCCTAAACTCCCCACCTTTAACTTAAAAACCCCACCGGCCCTTGATCTCCAGACGCGCTACATCCTCGCGCCGGGCGAGGCGTGGAATGTCCTTCCGGACCCTCCGGCGGGCGCCCACACCTGGGCCCTTTGGGTGCGGCTTTAGGGGCTTTAGGTTTAATTTTGGGGGTTTAGGGTTTGGGGTTTAGGGTTTAGGGTTTAGGGTTTAGGGCTTTAGGGGTTTGGGGTTTCGGGTTTAGGGGTGTAGGGGTGTAGGGGTTTAGGGGTTTAGGGTTTGAGGGTTTAGGGCTTTAGGGTGTAGGGTCTCAGGGGTTTCTGGTGTTTGGTTGTCCATCCCTTTGCGGGTTTTTCTTGGTGGTTTGGCTTAAGAGAGGTGTTCAGGATTCCTCAGGGGTCTCGGGGTTTACTGAAACAAGGATGTATCCTGAAGTTTTCTGTCTGGTGCTTAGTAGGGAATGGGGAATGGATCCCTATGATAGTCCCTTAAGGTCCCTTATAGTAATCCCTACAACCCATTCCCCCATTCCCTACTAAGCACCAGACAGTTTTTGTTCGATAGGATACGGCTTATATAGAGTGGTTTAGTCCAGGACATGTTCAGGTGGGTATTCACCGTTAAAGGAGCCCGAGAGAGGGTCTATATACCTTATGAAAGCCTTATAGAAGCCCTATAGACCCTAAACTCCCCACCTGTAGTTTCCTTTCGTTAGGGGTTTTCGACCTTAAACCCTAAGGCCCGAAACCCAAACCCTGGCTTGCCTCGAGGGCGCTTGGGCAATCAGAGCTTTGCTGAGTTCTTGTTACGGGATTTGGTTTTAAGGCACCATAAAAATAGAAACAATAGTAAGATAGACTGGAGTGTCTATCATACTTTGACTACATATATGGGTAGATCTCTAAATTTTGGGTCCCTTCTCAGGTCCCCCAAACAGAGTACCGCACCTCTATACAGAGTACCCTAAGTGGGACCCTGCTTTAGAGGACTAGCCATGTGGATGAGAACTGATACTTGGAGGTTCATGGGTAGTTAGTTATATGTGGAGCTATAGGTACGGTAACTATAGTTATACCCCGTATTACGGGACTTATAACCCCACTTATAACTACCCATGAACTTCCAAGTAACCCCAAGCCCACTTAATCACGGAACATACCTTAAATCATAACATTAAGGCCCCTATAATTTAAGGTATCTTCCTTAATTAAGGGGTATGGGACTCTCTGGGAGAGCTGATAACCCCAAGCCCTCTAGACCTCCGATGCGTGCTGCTTCAGCATTGCTTCTGCTACTTGGAGGGACCATGGGCCTTGGTAGCTGTTAACTCTTTCTGTAGCTAGAGTATAATGGGCCCCAAAACCCTATTCTAACGATTAAGGCCCCTATATTAGAGCCCCATTATATAGATCCCTTATAGAACACTGTTCAGGGTTCAGAGGTTTAGGGTTTAGAGGTGTAGCGTTTCGAGGTTTAGCGTTTAAGGTTTAGAGTTCAGAGGTTTAGGGTTTAGAGGTGTAGGGTTTCGAGGTTTAGGGTTTAAGGTTTAGGGTTTAACGGTTCAGAAGTTTAGGGTTTAGAGGTGTAGGGTTTCGAGGTTTAGGGTTTAAGGTTTAGGGTTTAGGGTTTAGATAGAAGTACCTTAATCGGGGCTACAAGTATGTTTAAGTATAGTCACCTTACTTATGACCCTGGTTACTAGAGTCCCGGGGTCCTTCAAGCAACCCTGAAAACCCCGTAACGAACCCTTATAGAACCCTTATAGATCCCTTATAGAACCCTTGTAGATTCCTTATAGATGCCTTACAGAACCCTCAGATAACCCTTATAGATCCCTTACAAGAACCCTTAAAACAACCCTGATAAATCCCTTATAGAACCTTTAAAAGAGCCCGTATAGATCCCTTAAAAGAACCCTCATAAAACCCTGAAAAGAACCCTGACAGAACCCTAAAGGAACCCTCATAGAATCCTTAAAGGAACCCTTATAGAACCCTGAGAAGAACCCTTATTTACAGGAACCCGGGATCCTTCCAACCCCTAAAGGCGCGCCTTATGAAATATTACAGACTCGAAGGCAAGCTTCCAGGAGCCCTTGAAGGAGCTCTTCAGGGTTTGGGGTTTAAGAGTTTAGGGGTTTAGGGGTTTTGGGCCATTTCGGGTTCGAAGTTTAGGGTTTGGGGTTTGGGGTTTAGGGTTCGAAGTTTAAAGCCGAGGGTTTAGGGCTTAGGGTTTAAAGTTTAGGGCCAGCTCAGGGTTTGGGGTTGGTTTAGATTTTAGGGCTCAGGGCTTAGGGCTTAGTGTTTAGGGCTTAACGATAAAGGTTTAGGGTTCAGGGCTTTGGGTTTAGAGTTTACGGTTTAGGACTTAAGGTTTAAAGTTTAGGGTTTAGGGCTTTGGGTGTAGAGTTTAGGGTTTAGGGCTTATGGTTTAGAGTTTAGGTTTTAGGGTGCTGAACCCCAGGATCCTTCAAGTAGATCTGAAGCAGCTGAGGTCTTTGCTCGTGGACGCGCCGTCCTTCTGCTGGGCCCAGCGGATCACCCGGTGAACCCGTCGCCTGGCCTTCATATGTAAGGGTTTAGGGAGTAGGGTTTAGGTATAGAAGCCGCAATGATTACCCACATTCTTCCTGAGATCTTCTCATTATAAATAGATTATAAAGGAGCCCCAAAAAACTATTGTTCCGAAACTCCGATGTTGTTATAAATCCACTAAGGCCCAGTAACCTTGGGGTGCCCATATAGACTTGGGCTCAAGGTCCTTAGATTGTTTTGTGATGGTATCCGAGGGTTTTATGGAGCTTGTGGGAGTGCAGGCATCAGCAAAGGTGGCAGGCCCAAGGCGAGAAGTAATGATGACAGAACGAAGCGAAGCTCCACTGAAACCACACAACATGGTATGTAGACTACTTGGAGGTTCATGGGTAGTTATAAATGGGGTTATAAGTCCCCTAATCTGGGTTATAATTACACTTAGCCTGCTTATAACCCCACTTATAACTACAAAAACCTAAACCTAATAGAACCCTTTAAAGGAACCCTTAAAGGAACCCCATAACCCCACTTATAACTACCCATGAACCTCCAAGTAATCTCGATAGCACGATGTTTCAGCATGCCCTGGGTCCCCAAACCCTAACCTCTGAACCCTAAATCTAAGGTAGAACCCATGGGCCCCTAACATGGGCCCTTAGAGGATTCTAGGGTCCCTTAAGTGTACATAGCGGATATATAGTAGGTATATTAGGGTCCCAGGGGTAAGGGACCATACTAGGGGCCCATGGGTTCTACCTTAGACTAAACCAACCCCAAAGCACAATCCTAACTCCCAACTGAAGAAAGTCACTGCTTAGGGAACTCTTGTACCCTGAAGTAGGATCATACAGGAGCCCCGATCTATGCTGCGGCGGCATGTTTCTTTTTCCAGGTAATATAGGGGCTTAAAGAACTACCAATACTATTTTGAAGGTTCCTTTTTGTAACCATAGTATAATGGGCCCCAAAACCCGGTTCTAACAATTAAGGCCCCTAGTTTACAGCCCCATTATATAGATCCCTTATAGAACCCATTAACTTAGGAGCCCAGTAGGTAAACTTTAAACTTTTTTGGTATATCAAACCCCTACTAAAAGACAAGTTTAAACTTTCTTGGGCCAGGCGATTGGGCTTTAAGGTTGTTAAGGGTTTTTATTTTAGAACCCCATTATATAGATCCCTTATAGAAACCCTCTAAGGATCCTTTAAAGGAGCCCCTAAAAAGAGACCATGACTGCAGAGAGCCTTAAGTTCCAAGCCCCCCCGGGGGAAGAGATTAAACCCCAGGGGCTCTGAGGCTTTTAGGGCTTAGGGTTCGGGGTTTA